TCTTTAAGTTTATTTTACCTGATAGGAATAGGGCTATATCAGCCTCATTTTTCTCTTTGTTATCTGCCAGATGTCTCTTTCTCCTCCTTTCACTTTAAACTTGCACATGTCCTTGAGCTTTCGGTGTGACTTTTTTTTTTTTTTTTTTGGAGAGGTTTTTGCTATAGGGTGCATGCGCTTGCCAGAGAGACAGAGACAGAGAGACAGAAAGAGAGAAATCACCCCCCAGGGGGGATGGCCATGCTGCAATCCCTTCTCCTCCATTCTCCTCTCGGGATCTTGGGCACGTACACACACGCACCTGGTGTGAGTTTAAGCCACTGAGTCCAGGACTTGAATCACAGTCGACTACATGGAAGTTTAGTGACATAGCCATTACGCTAACTGCTGGTCACAGATGTGACTTTTAAAAACATGCATCTAAGGTTTTAAAAAATACAATTTGTCAAGCTATCTTTTTATTGATGAATTTAGTCATTTACATTTATTCTAGTTAGTGTTATACTTGCACCTGTTTCTACCACTTTAATTTACTTTTTCAGTTTGTATTGTCTTTTGTTTTTTATATTCTTTAAAAAAATGTGACATTCTGGATATATTACTTTTTCATTTTTTAATTTATTATCATCATAATCTTGTTTATATTACATTGAATCACATATAACTTTACAGTGTATTATATTGCTTTTTCAAAAGGGAATGCTCTGGATATATTACATTTCAGGTAATAAGAAAACAAATGAATAAACACCAAAAGGGCATGAACTTTTGACTGTTTTCCCAGGAGAGGTTATGGGTTTATGCTGAATGATCAGAAGTGTCTTTGTCACGACAGTGACATGGATTGGTGAGCTTGCTTGTGGATTTTGAATAGCTCATCTGAGGTTACCAAGAAAAAAAAGAAAAAGATGTTTCCCGGGACTGGCAGGTGGTATGGTGGTTAAAGGCGCTAGACTCCCATATAGCTGACCATAGTTCAAGTCCCTAACCGGTTTGCTTTCTCAATTTCTGTCTGTCTGTCTGTCTCTGCCCTTCTCTGGTCAAATTAAAATAAATAAACAAATAAAGTTTAATAAAATAATTCTTTATAAAATTGTTTCTCTAGATAAACCTTGGCTTCACTGCCATTATATTCCAACCAATTACACTATCAATCCTTCTCAAGAACTTCAATGACCTTTTATCAGAGACATGCTAAATTCTGTAATCAAACTGAACAACTGTTTTATTTTGCAAAGATAATGATATTTATTTGCATGGATTTTAACTAGGTATCTTGGAAAGGATTTGTAATAAAAGAAAAATAGCTTAACAGAAGGCTAAAACATACAGCTGGTAAAAAAACAGCTTTTCAGAGATACCGACTTACATCTCTAAAAAGAGGTGATAGAGGATGTTTGCATGAACTAATCACATCTATGAGGTCAGTGCAGAGTAACAAGAATGTGTCACAACCAGCAAAACAAAAACGGGAAACCAAGTACCAAATGCTGTTAGGAAAAAAAAAAAAAGGCGGAAACTCCCTTTCGCCAGGGGTTGCACGCTCACGCTTTACTAGGATCCTGAGCCCTGGATTAACTAGAGCTAAGCAAAGCTCTGGGGGAAAGAAACGCACTGGCGAGAGAAACCCAAGAATCAAATGTTTGACGACTTTGTGATGAAGAAAGGCGGGCCATTTAACAAGGATCATCTGTTACTTCTAAGTAGTAGCATTTTTCTGAGTTGGTTTCAATGATATTCGCCCTCCAAGCCGTGGACTCTCCTTCCAGTAGCTGCTTTTTGAGGGGTACAGAACCACCATTCCTCAGCCTATGATCTGTGGTCACTACTGTCACTAGCAAATGATGTCTATTTACTCAGCTAAGATTTGACTCTAGCACAATTAAAAGCAACCAGTCCTCCCCAAAATGTCCATGCTTAATGACAACAACTGCTCGATGGATTCGAAGGTTGGAAGAATCAGAGTTCCAAACAGTAATATTACATAGAAGTCAGAATTGTTTTTATAAGGTGAACCTGCTAGGCTCAGGCACTGTGGGAGCCTAGGTGCTCCCAGTGTCCTGGGGTCCACGTGAGCTCACTGGCCCCAGGTCTGAGTCTACCCTCCCTTTCCGGTGTCTACCACGCTTTTCTGCTCCAGGTGCTAATGGAAGGAAAGGTGGGGCATGTGAGGGCGGTTGTGACCACACGGTTGCTCCATGGAGATGACAGGTGGCTCCTGCTTGGACAGGAGAAAGCCACATGGTGGTAGCATAGCTTGCTGGAGGGTGGGGGTCTCTCTAATAGCAATTAGGTCTGAGCTTCTTTGGATATACTATGAATACATGCATTGTTTTTCTTTTCTTTTTTTTTTTTTTTGAGATTATTTGCTATAGAGCACATGCGCTCACCAGACAGACAGATAAGAAAGAGACAGAAGGCAAGAATTCATCCCCCAGGGAGGATGGCCATGCTGCAATTTCTTCTCCATTCTCCTCTTCGGATCTTAGGCGCACAAGTGCCTGGTGTGAGTTTTAAGCTACTGGATTTGAGACTTGAACCGTGGTTGACTACATTAGGAGTCCAGTGACGTAACCATTACACGACCTGCTGGTTCCTCTTTCTTTCTTTTAATTGCCAAAGGGTGTGTGCACTTGCCAAAGAGGATGGAGAGACAGAAAGGCGGGGAAAAAGCACCCCTTAGTGGGATGTGGTCATGCTACAATCCTTTCTGTTTCACTATCCTCCTGGGATTTCAGGTGAGCGTTCATACACTCCTGATGTGTTTTTCAAGCTACTGGGGTTAGGATTTGAGCCGCACAGTCAGATGTAGGATCCTGCTCCCTCAACCATTAGGTCACATGCTGGCCAGAAGACATGCATTTCTGTCAAAAGAAGATCAAGAGTGTGGTGGAGGGTTTTGAACTCAAACACACCTGGCTTGAATTCTGGCATTGTTACCCACACACTTCCCTGGATCGGTCCCTGAGCTCCTTCCCTGGATCTTCTCTTTTATCCACGGAGAACAACACCTTTCTCAGGACGAGCTTCCTGTGCACTGAGAGAAGTGATGACGCGTGAAAAGCCACGCACCTGGCTGGCACCTGCCCTGGCGCTCCTTCCCCACCCCTCTCTGAGAAAGGAGTTCAGTCCTCTGGAATCCTATCCTGAACACCTCGTGCCCCACCACCGGGCCTTCCTAGTAAGAACATCCTGCATGTTGGTTAATGAGAAAATCACCACACTCAAGAGTCTCTTCTGGCAAACTCAGAGCAGTCTCCGCATAGCAGGAAACCATGAAGATCTGCTACCTAAGACCTGAAACTAGCTGGGGCGATGCCACATGGCTGCTGTTTCGGGCAGCCCAGCCGTGTCAGTGGGTACAAGGCAGGTCCAGGCACTGTGACAGCGAGCTGGGACGACCACTGTGTGCCGACAGTGTTCTGAGCACTTCACACGCGGTCTCATTGAACCCCACGGTGATCTTCTGAGGCAGGTCCCATCGGAGTCGCTATATGACTGATGAGGAAACTCAGGCACAGGGCAGGATTCCCATTCAGAAGACAGGGCCTGAGACTTTCACACTATGTGGTCTGATTCCAGAGCTCATTTTCCAGCCTGTGCCTCCACCCACAAGGGGAAAGGAACCTTCCCTGGCTACAGCGATTTCCACACTTGTGGTTCCTCTTCAAGAAGGCCAGTGAGTGGTCAGGGGTAGGCTCTACCTCTTCCAGGTCTTACTCTGAGGAGGCAGGCAGGAAACCGAGAAGATCTCATCTTACCAAGTAAATGCTTACCCTACCAAGTAAGCGAATGCATGAGCTCGTAGCAAGGCTGCTGGCTTCAAGCAGAGGTCGGTCTGTCTGCTGTGAAGGTATCTTGCAAGGCCCCTCAGCCTGCTGGCGGAATGCCAAAGTCATCTTCACTCTTCACAATATCATGTCGCATGAATGGCCTGGGTCTCTCCAACTTGGGCAGCTCACAGCTCATATAAGCAATGGGTGGGAGAGGGGAGGACGAATCTAATCCCTTGAGAACACAGCCACGAGGAAGCCATTCTAGGAGAGCTAAGACGTGGCGAGGACTGGTGCTGCCAGGACAGAGCTGCGTCAGATCCCAGACGGGAACCGCCTGCTCCACACGTCCTGGAACTCCTGAGAAGAGGTGCGTGGAGGCCCCCTGCACAGTCAAGGGGAGCCGCCCTCAGCCAGGCGGTTCCAGAAATGGCCCAGCTTGGCATCCTCACACAACTGTTTCCTTCAGAGCAGATACAGACTGAACCAAGAGCGGGGCACTGACAGGTGGCTAGGTAACTGAAACCCGACAGAGAGGGTGTCACGACTCTGAGTGGGTTGTGAGAGACTGTAGGCTCTGCGAGAGAGGCCTGAGGATCACAACATGAAACACCTCTGAAAGGGAGCAAAAGAGTGAGGTACCAGGCCCTGTTCAAGGATCCGCTAGTAACTGCAACATGGAGAGGTTAAAAAAAAAAAAAAAGAAGTGGCTCCACATCTCTAATCTGAGCTGACAACTTGGAAAGTTCTAACGGCAGCTGAGTGAAAAGGGGGATGCAGAAGTTCACGCTCTCTTTTTACCTAGTGACATATAAGAGGAACAAAAACAGGGCTCTAATTTCATTTTCCTTCTTTTCTTTTATTAAGGTTTTTATCATACGGCACTCACAGGAGAGAGGAAGAGGGAAAGTGAGAAATCACCCCCCAGGGAAGATGGCTGTGCTGCAATCCCTTCTCCTGTTGGGATTTTAGGCATGCACTCACATGCACCCGGTGTGATATTCAAGCCACTAGTTCCAGGACTCAAACCGTGATTGACTGGCCACATGGGAATCCAGCGCCTTAACCACCATGCTACCTGTTGGCCCTAATTTAGTCTGTTTCTACCCTCCAATCAAGTTCTGGAAGGGCTTTCTGCCTGGGTGATGCCAACGTTGCCGCCCAGGACACCTGGTCTGGCCTCCTGCGCCCAGCACCTTCCACCTGCAGCGCTCCGCGCCCACTCACCTGAGCCCCGCGGTCGTTGACCAGCTCCACAGACCACCTGCCTTCGTACTGAATCCACACAAATATCCCGCCGTCGGCGTCGCACGTGGCCAGTTTCTGGTATGGCTCGTTCCACCTCACCAGCACGACCTGGAAAAACACCAAGCAGACGTTCACCACAGGAAATAAGCCAGCGGCCCAGGATCCCGTCTGTGATGTGATCAGATTTCAGAACTAAGCAGGATGCAGTCAGGGGAAAGACGGGAGGCTGCGGATTCGTGGGGAGATGGGCAGAGCCCACACATGGCAGTCTCTCACGGGACTGACGCACTCGACGAGGCCCCGAGCACACAGTGAACCACAGCACTGCACGCCCGGTGCCGTGAACAGAGGGCGCACAGCCCATCCGCCCCAGCACCCGCCTCTCACAGGTGTGCAGGTCCTGTGTCGTGGGGAACTGTCGTCGCAAAATACATTACATATCTGAACCGTGGTGTTATTTGCTTAGAACAGAAAGAGGAAACGGCGAGTCCTCTTTCATTCTGGTTTTTCCTCCAAGGTGAAAGTTTCCATTCCTTTTTTAGATTACCTTATTTCCAAACAGTTTAGCATCTACATGTGGCCAATTTGGAAGTGAGCCAGCTGAGCGATGTACATTGTTTAGGACTTATGACAGAGAAAATCTGAAGGAATTAGAGGCTCCGAAATTTGTGAGCATAAGAACTTAGTTTTTTAATTTAAAAAACTCCAAATCAAGACGAATTATTTTTATCTTGATCATTTCCTTATCTAAAAAGGTAAGAATTCTGGTAGGTGGCCTGTGAGAAGCAAAGTCCGAGGAGACTGAGGGCAGCTCTCACGAAGGCCAGGAAAGCCCACGAGGGAGCGAGGCTCATCAACGGGCCTGGGCGACCCTGCATCACAAAACCGAGACCTCGAGGTTGTCTGCGGAGAAGGTTCCCGAGGCGGTCCCTGACTGGCCTGCCTTGGCGACCACGCTGACACTCAGCATGTACTGATCATGCTCATCTATGTGACTGTCGCTGGGTTCAAGGACAGGAAGCAGCCCTCTGCCCTCTAGTGAGGGCACAGACACACGGACGCATACCGACATCTGTCAATAAAACAGACACATGGATGCATACTGACATCTGTCAATAAAACGGGGGCTGCTTTCATCCAGCGAGAGCACAACACAGTGCAGGCAGACTGGAGCCCCTGTCCACTCCCAGCATTCTGTGCCTGGTGGAACACCTCGAACTGCTGTAAATACGGGACATCGGTATAAATGGGGTCTCCAGGCTCTAACACATATTCTCAAGTAGAGAGTCAGCCTGAGGACTGGTGGTTAGGGGCCTCTATAATGCCTGGGCCCCTCCTTTCATTCACCGGTCCAAACTGCATTTCCTGCTTTCATATCCCACTACTTCTCAAAGTCATGCAACAAGAGTACCTAATTTTAGGTCTTTAAAACTGCTTCCAGGGACCAGCAGTTGGCGTAATGACTATGTCGCTGGATTCCCATGTAGTCAACCGTGGTTCGAGTCCTGGGCCCGGTAGCTTAAACTCATGCTGGGCACGTGTGCGTGTGTGCCTAAGATCCCAGGAGGAGAATGGAGGAGAAGGGATTGCGGCCTGGCCATCCCCCCTGGGGGTGATTTCTCGCTTTCTCTCTCTGGCGAGTGCATGCGCCCTATAGCAAAAACCTTTCAAAAAAAAAAAAAAAAAAAAAACCCAAACAAACAAAAAAAAAACCTGCTTCCTGGGAACAAGAGAGCTAGGAGAAATTCCCAAAGCAGTCTGGATCGCTCTGCCTGGAGCTAGCCCTGGTTTGCCACACTGGGTGGATTCAGCACTTGGGAGCTGTACAATAAAACTCTAAAATTTTCTACGAGAAAATGACCGCCCTACACTTACAAGGTAAAGACTATTACAGTGCTCCTTAAAAGCTTGGCAAAGATCAAAGACATCTGTGAGATTGTGGTCTTCGAGACTTGCAAATCACTAACCAGTTCAACTTGGTCTGGCCGACAGTCTCCAGGCTCAAGTCGAGCTGCCTGGAGCACACCTGAGCACGCCCAGGCTCCCCTCTGCCGGGGCCTCTCACCGTGCACACACAGCGAGGAGCCTGTCCTGCTCAGGTAGAGGGACAGCTGAGTGCTGCACGCAGCAACGTCACAGATGTTGTGCCAAACAACTTGAAGGGACTTCAGAAAGCTCATGGGATAACAGAATTAAAATATGCATTCACTTCAGCGCAAAAGGATTCTGAAATCCATAGTTTTTCTCATAGTAGACATTTTCTGTTAACTTTTGAAGGCCTCTTGTATATAATCAGAAGCTATGCTCCTTAGCAAACGATATCTTTGAGCTATAAAAGTACTGAAACTTAGTTTCCCAGAGCATTCTAACAGCAGCACATGCTGCGTGCCTGCCGGGAATAGCCGGCGCTGAGGCAGAGGCTAAGAGCCTGTGGTCCCTACGGCGCTCGCTTTGCGAAGTGGACAAAATGCAGTGCTCCATCTGCCATTACAGACCTGTGGACCAACGAGGGGCCCCGTGCTGGTGCACAGGAGGACAACAAATCCACGCTCACGTTTTTAATCTAATTTTTGAAATTCTCTACTTAAATGACAGTGATTTTAAAAAACACAACTACGGCGAGCAACACATACATTTTAAGTCACATGGGCTGTGTCATCAAATTCAGAATCTTCAAATGTTTGGCAAAAGCCAACTTCACAGATTTCTTTCAGATCCAACAGTGATGTGTCCCAAGCCCTAATCCACAAATGTGTACGTGGCTACAAAGTCACACAGTAACTATTTCAGCCCCCAATCATGAATGTACCAGAAAGAACTGCCCAGAATGGAACACGACAGGTAGGAAGACGGTATTCCCAGATCCAAGTCATTTTCCCGGGTCAGCAGCAGTGAGCACGAGCCGCCTTAGGAAGCAATACTTAACGGCAAATGCGGCATTTCAGGGACAGGGGTCAGTCACCTCTACGCTGTGCCCCAGCTGCTGCCACGCATGGCCGCTGCTTTACTCGCACCGACGACCAAACCCCCTCCTCACAAACGCAGCCCGCACACGCACAGCACGCCGCAGACACGAAGAGCAGAGCAGACATCTTTTACATTATTCCGAGCTAAAGTAAAGACTTCGGGGTCTCACGAGAACACAGTGGCCACTGTGGATAAACGCACCACTCCAGGACGTGCTCTCCTATTTTTCCCTGACTCTCCATCAGTCGGGAGGCAGCAGTGAATGGAGAAGCAGTCCCGTGCACATACTTCCTTCTGAGCTCACTGGCTGAACCTGAATAGGGAGCTACCCTCCAGAACTGGAGACAGATTCTCCCAACGCGTCCTGGTGGAAAATAAAGTCAAAGTGCTAGTGCTGTTTCCCCGGGCAGCTCGCTCATTTCCTTTCTTGTCCGCAATTCACAGCTGCTGCCTTATCTCCCAGCAGCCCACTTCCTGCCCCGAATCCTTCCAGCCGGCTTGGCACTGTGAGGACATGCTCGTGTGCCGAGGAATCACCAACCAGGGCCAGCTGCTTCGTAGTCTCCCCAGTCACGCACGGGGTGCGGGCGCCATGGATCAGCAGACATCCTAAGGCGGAGCTTGCCTTCCCTGTTATAGGAAAACGGGGCTCTCATTTACTCTGAGCACCAAAGGACTTCCATGTGCGGGGTGTGAGCGAAGGTGTAAGTTCTACTAACAAGTCAGAGGATGAGCCCACCAGCGGGTAGCTAAGGAGGCCAGATCCCACATCCCACATGGCCGGCCTCACGGTTTGGGTCCTGGACTCTGCCGGCTTGAGAAACACACCAGGTGTGTGTGCTTATGTGCGCAAAATCCCAAGAGGAGGGAGCAATGGAGGAGAACGGATGGGGTGTGACCATCCCCTAAGTAAGAGAGCTTTCTCTCTTTCCCCTGTCTCTCTCCAGCAAGCATATGCATGCAGGCAAATTTTTAAAAAAGTCAGAAGATAAACTAAGTTTTAACCAACGCCGTCAGTTACTCAAAAAACAAAACAATAGAACAGCCTGTTACCGTTTTCAGCACAAGTTCTATCAGCTTTGTAGTGTCATTTTTCTTGATAAATGCTTAGTGGGGAGGCCACTCTGTTGCAGCCAAGTTGAACAAAAGCACGAGTAAACTGGGGACCTGCTATTTCTAGCTACGTTACTTTTTTAAAAAGATTTATTTAATTTTTGTTTTTTATTATTATTCAATTTGATCAGAAAGAGAGAGAAAGAAAAAGAGAAAGTGAGAAAGCAAGCTGCCAGGTCCGGGACTTGAACTGCTACCATGTGGGAGTCTAGCGCCTTAACCACTACACCACCTGCTGGCCCCTTTATTTTTATAAGTTTTGCTATAAGGCATGTGCAATCACCAGAGAGAAAGCAAGAAATTACCCCCCAGAGGGGAAGGTCGGGCTGCAGTCCCTTCTCCAGTCTCCTGTTGAGATTTTGGGCATGCACACACATGCACCTGGCATGATTATCAAGTTACCAGCTCCCACGTGGAATGGGCCACGTGGTATCCAGCACCTTATCCTCCACACCACCTGCTGGCCTCCTGACTACCTTCTGAAGTGAAGCAATCTTGTGGGACTGAGCCCTTAAACCTGTGAGGTCTGAGACTAACTCAAGGTACTGTCAGAACCGAAGCCTCTAGGTTGGTATCCGGAGAGTGGGACAAATGGCTATTAGTGTTGAAAAGCACACCACGCACATTCGGTGTTGGGAGTATTATGCATTAAAACAGACTATTCCTGCTTTTACTACCAATGTTGCTTACAATCTTCTACAATACTTCTTGCGGAAAAGTAAGTTTCTCTAGAGCTTTCCCTATTTTCTGTCTCCAGTAAAAGTGAGAAATCACCCTCCGGGAGGGTAGACACACTGTAATCCTTTCTCCTCCACTCTCCTTTCAGGATTTTGGAAACATACACCCCCAGTATCTTTTTCAAGCCATCGGGTCTGGGACTCAAGCCATGTAGTTTGCCACGTGGGATCCAGCAGCTTTAACTTCCATGCCACCAACAGGTCCTATATATTCTTTAAAAAAAAATTTTTTTTTAAATTATTTTTTCCATAAGCAAGAGAGACAGGGAGAGAGAAAAAGCACCCCCAATA